AAAATTTGCAGAAACATTAAGAATATGATGTATACATGTTTTTTGCTTTTTGTTTTTTTTAATTAAGCAGCTACTTCGAGAGAACAGTCTCAAGTAGCATCGTCCACTGGGGAGTGTTTGGACTTTTTGTGGTTTTTAGGACCCCGGTGGACCATAATTGCTAGTTCAACTCTGTTTCAGTATATATCTTGTATATTTATACTCTGCAACACTTTGTCTTTAAAAAAAATGATTCCATTATATGTATATGCACTATAAAAAAAATGTTATAATCGAAAAAACGTCGGATTTACTCTTTATTTTGTAATAACTTGGCATAAATATGTAAACAATTGATGTATTTAACAACATATAGATTTTCATGTTTCTCTATCATTATTTTTGTTTATGTATTGTTGTTATTTATAAAAAATACTGAATAAAATCTTATTACAAAAAAAAAAAAATCAATGTAAATCATACATGTACATGTAATTCTTCACCACAAACATTTATGTTCTCTATCTTTGAATTGTGTATGGTTCGTCTTCAGCGAAATGGTTGTAAAAAGCTTTGTAAAATATTTTGAGTCAAAGTTTGTTTGTTTTACTTACTATATATATGTTTATATGTAAAGTTCTCATATTTACTTTTTCCTAGAGAAATACTAGTACTGATATTAACAGAAAACTGTTTAGTTTAAAAAGACTAATTAATATTCAATGCAGAATATTTGTATAATCAATAATCGTGAAATTCATAATAAATTATATTCTCGAAATGCTGCAAATATTTAATTCTTCATATTTGAAATAAGTGTCGGATTCTTTTAACCTAAATGAAGTCATCATAGTATTAGTCCAATAGTTGTTATGAAATATATGGACATAAAAAAACAGCATCGCATTTAAAAAAAAAAGCATTAAGAATAAACTTTTCCTTTATGATGAAGAGTGTTACTAATGTTCACAGAATCATTATTTATATTGTCAAATTAAAGCTTAGAATTCTATACAAATCATTTGATTCCATGATTGAATCACCGCATTAACAACATTGAAAAAAATACCGTTATACAAGAGGCGACGGGAAATCGGTGCTCCAATTGTGTTGCATGAATGGGAAACTAAAAATGTGTACTTAATGAATACTTTTCCTCAGTTACTTTATATCAAGGACAACGATGGCGAAAATGCGTTATGTGATGCATCGTGGGTTGGGAACATTGAATTATTCTTTAAATCTATGTTGGGAAAAGGTATTAAAGTTGAAATCACCAGAAATGACGTGAAAACTGTGCTACATCTTTGTTGTATGAACGGGAAATTGGATATTTGTAAATACCTAGTAAATCTTTTCTTCATTTATTAAATGTTAAAAAAAACTCAACTTACAGCATCAAATATTGCTTATAAGTATCAAATCAAATGTGTATAATAATTTTTAGAGAACGCCGTTTCTGAACCCCGAACAGGTCCAGTCCAAAGACTATTTCTACCTACGTAGCTATTAATAGCTACCTAGGTATTTAAAGCTACCAAAAGTAGCTATTTTTACCTACTTTATATAATTTCTGCATTTTGCGACCAAAAGACCAAACGGCGCAACGTGGTGGATACCATATTTTTTGATACGGTCACACTAATGATGAATACGACAAAATCTTGGCCAAAAAATGATTACTTCCTGAATAAGCAAATTTACATTAGTTTCTATGCAAAATTGATAATATACAAAGTTTTCATTTTTTAGCCAAATTTTTGTCATATTCATCATCAGTGTGACCTTATCAAGAAATTTTGTGCTCACCATGTTGCGCCGTTCCTGCATTTGGCCACAAAATGCAAGTAAAGCAGAAAGTAGGTAAAAATAGCTACTTTGTGTAGCTTTAAATACCTAGGTAGCTATTAATACCTACGTAGGTAGAAATAGTCTTTGGACTGGACCTGCCGAAGGAGCCAAAAACGAACGGAAATGCATCTGTAGATAATGCATGCAAATAAAATGTTTATCTATTATTTTTGTTTTTTTTTTTACTTAGGAAGGAATAGCTGAAAAACAACTGATATTTATGATGTGAAGAAACTTGAAATCTAACCATACTTGTGATTTTCAGTTCATGAGAATTTATTTTTGTATCTTTCCAAATCAAGTTTTATGTAGAAACTGGTAGATTTTGTAATCCTGTCATTCTTAGAGAAAATAGATATTTGTTATAAAACTATTGTTCAAAATGAAAAACCATGTTTACTTGATTTTCAAATGAATGAAGATTTAATGTTACTAGATGTTAATACACTATCTTGTTTGCTTAATCCATATAACTTTGAATGAAACAAAACAATCCTGGCAGTAGCAATATGTGTCTTTACATCAGAGACTGTTAGTCTTATTAGAAACAAGCTTACTACAGTTAAATATTTTGTAATATATGGCTAACAACACATTCGCATTTATGTATATGCATTGTGCTTAAGTGTCAGTAAAGAATTTAAATGACATATTTTCTTTGTTCCCTTGTTGACTGAAACATATGGAGATAACGAATAGTATCCAAGATCAAAAGTCCATAAAACAATACAAAATAATAGAAGCAGAGCAAACACTGACAGGTGGGATCAGGTGCCATGGAGGAGACAGCAAACCCTGCTGACCGGTCCCACAGAAAACTGCTAAGTAAAAAGACTTTATCTTTTCAAAGCAGAATATTTGTATTATCAATAATCGTGAAATTCATGATAAATGATATTCTGGTAATGTTGCATATATTTCATTCTTTATATTTAAAATAAGTATCGGATTCTGTTAATCAGAATGAAGTCATCATAGCCTTTGAAACACTTGTGTGTAACCTTATAAGTCCAATTTTTGTTATGAAAGAAGGATATGGAGATAACGAACAGTATTCAATCTCAAAGTCCATAAATCAATACAAATCAGAATCAGAGCAAACACGGACCCCCGAAACATCAGTGGTGGGATCAGGTGCCATGGAGGAGTGAGCATCCCCTGCCGACCGGTCACACCCGCCGTGTGCTTCTTGTCATGATCGGGAAATAATGGAAAAATCTGCCGTCAATTCAGTGTATAAATAATGGACTAACAATTAGTATGAAAACCGTCAGTCAGCATTTGACACAATGATAAATTGTATATAAAGACATAAGGAACAGTATTGCATTGAAAATGTACAAGAGTAAAATTTTCCTTTATGATGATGAATGTTACTAATGTTCACAGAATAATTATTTATATTGTCAAATTAAAGCGTAGATTATTGTTTTACAAATCATTTGATTCCATGATTTAGTCACCACATCAATAATAGAGATTGAGTAAATAACCATTATATAATTTTGACATCTTGACTGTGCTTATTTTATTTGTTTCATTTCACTTGTACACAAACATGTATCAGTATTTGTCCCGCTGCCATTTTAAAGAAAATCTGATAATGAAATCAATACAGCCTACAAAGAGGGTTCAAGTTCGCAAAAAAAAATTTTAATGGCCCAACCAACGAATTTTAATGCTAACAGAAAAGATCTTTACAGGTATTTAAATGTATTTTTAGTAAACCAGTTCCGTCATAATATTGCTCCTCCATGGACATTTATAGTTCTAAAACAAATTGAAATCTGTAAGTACGTATTTCTTTTTTTTATTTCATATTCTTAAAACATGTTAAAAGTGTTCACAGAAACAACGAAAGTAAATATGTTTATGTTTTTTTTTTTCTATTTATCATATCTTTAAAACATGTAAACAAGTGATAATGAGTATCTTCCAGCTACACACAAATTGCTTGTAAATCGTATCAGACAGAAGTCACAGTTTATTTCTTTCAAGTCTCACATTTTCTGGAAAAGGATTTTGTTCTGTTATAAATACATTGAAAACGGAATACGTCCTGTGTGATATTGATCAAATTATAGCATATTCTGTTTATCCTAGCATGCGTGTTGCAACTTGTCCAACGGTGTCAGGAAAAAAATTGACTGGAAAACGAAATTTGCTTTCAACTTGCAACTGTTTTTGTTTCTTTTCGTGTAACGACAAGATGGATTGTTGGGATATTTTTTATGTTTGTAAATGTGTATGTTTAGGTATTTGTATATATTAATATAAGTGCTGAGAAAAAGGCTGAGACACCTATGCGACAGGACTGCATAAAGACATTTAAAGTTCTTTTAAAGCTCCATTTAAAAATCACATAAGATCTATTCTCAGTAGGTCTGTTTTGCACCAAGATACATGTACCCCATAACTGCTTGATTATGAGATTTCTCTCGGTGTTTTAAATGTACACTAGCTAAATGACAAGGGTATCTACATAAACGATTGATAATCATAACCCTTGACGGTTTTTAATAGGTAGAATGAGCTTCGGAACACCTGATTTTAAATATTCTTGTGGGTCCTTTACGTCACTACCATTCATATTTTGATCGAACTGAACAACGAGACCAAACATTCGGGGTTTTTTTTCGAAAAGCTTTATAAAGATTCTGAAAACTTCCACAAGCACTTTTCATGTAGATCACGTAGATTTTTTAAGACAGTATTAAGTTTGGTAGTACTATTCCTGACCATCAGGCCATAGGAGCGGTGAGGGCATAGTATTCACAATTTTCGTTTAATATCACCTGTGGATGATATATACCCAAAAGATTTTGAAATTAGCAAGTTCAGCTGTTAAAATCAGAGAAAAATCTGAAAATATTCGAATATTGAAGATGAAGAATAGTGACGCACAAAACGTGCAATAGGTTATTTGAGTGATTCAAATGACCTAAAAAGATACAAAAAAAGTTTTGAAATAAAAATTGATTATGTCAATCAAGCTTCTTTACACTAACTTGCATTTCAAATGACATTTGTCAGTGCAATCGATCGTATTATGAATGAATTGGCAAAAAACATTTAAGTAAGAAAGAATGAAATGTTTAATATTCAATCGCTTTAATTATTTATAATAAAAATTAGATTTTATTGTTCAATATTTCTTTTTCTAGATCAAACTCAATGAAATGGTATAGAATATATGTAAAACAAGATCATGTCTTGTTCAAAGTACGCCTCTACACCACAAACAACAAACCTAGCACGGGTCTCCCGCCTGATACTGGGACCATGTGCTGACGTCATGAGGGACGTGCTTCTCAGGGAGATACCAGCAACTGACCTGTCTAAAAAAGTACAAAAGTGGATAAATTCTCAAAAGAGACACCTACTCAATACATCTCAAACTGATTTGATTTTCCCACAACCGTCAAATATCTATGGTGGAAATTATTCCGACATGGATATATCCTTACTATATATTCTCTTACGTAATGTGACAAATCTACCTGCACACAGTCAAGGTTGGGGTAATGATCCTGACCCTACAGACAGAAGTGTATCGGCAAATATAGAGCGTATAAGGTTCATCAGAAACAAACACTACGGACATGCTGTTGAAATTGGCATACCTGATACCGATTTCCAGAGTGAGTTTATGAACATTCGCAAGATTGCGGAAGATGTTGATGTTTATTTGGGCGTTTCAAAACATCAGAAATCGGTAGACTTTATCAAAACAGACAAGATGGACCCGGAACAGGAAATGGAATGGATAAAACACCTTACAATATTAGGTAAGACTACTGGTATATACATTTAAGGAATACGCTTATTTCAACTTTTATTATACGCGAAGCGGTTAATAAAAAGTATAAACTGTTATGTTATATCGTTTTACATAAGTTGAAATTAATAAGCTTCATTCCTTATAATTTAATTTCAGTGTAGCCAATGAGAAATTAGTTTACTCTAGGAAAAGGCTTTAATGACGCTCTTTTTAACACTGTACAAAAGAGCTATATTTATTGGGTTTTATTGGGTAATTTATGCAGTTAGAGTGATCTGCTCTTAGCTGTAAGATTATAGTAGTTGTTATTTACCATTAATTACATAATTTATGAGATAAAAAGTCTTAATATGTATATATTTCTCTGAGACCAAAAAAAAGTTTCTGTTAGTGTTTAGAGCTTCCTTGAATTAAGAATATTTAAAAAAGTAACGTAACGCTGAGTAATACCTTTTTGACCTAAATCATAGTGACATAGGCAAGTTATGTTAAACAAAATTGATTAAATCTTTTACCCAATCAAATTACTAGTACATGTTGCGACTAAAATTAAATTATTTTGATTCCAAATAAAGTCTATCTCTTTCATTGCATGCAATCAGGTAAAAGACAACAAAGAATATATGATTGGTTCTTAGAACTATATGCATCCTAAATATCGTTGGAGTTTTATTATATGCTTTCATAGGAAATTTCCGCCTAATTAAGGCATGACTTACTTTTTTGAGAAGAATAACTTGAATTAAGATTAATATCATAAATTGATCTCCTTCTTATAAAAAGAAACGTTTTTAGAGTATGTAAGTATTTTTTTTTTCATAATGTGAAACGTATAGTATCTCCATTTGTTTTACATCCAAATGGATATCATAATAATAATGAAATATTGAGGGAGATCTAATTTTGTGATCATGTCCATACATGAAAATCGTCTGGATATGTGAAATCTTACTATAACATATCTGTAACACACTAAAATAGATAATATATGAAAAGCAGAAAAACGTTAAATACATTTAAAGGCATTTTTATAGACATATATAATATCAATGTCAGTATTATACAAACCTTTAACATAAAGACCTTAATGCAAGTTAACCCTAGCATAACTACATGTATTTCATTTAACAGAGTCGGTGGTCTCAAATGTAGAGGAAAACACCAAAAAAATACACCAAAACACCAAAGAAATACAGAAACTGAAACGTAAGTCATAAGTTGCAGACTGAATACAGAATACAGGAGTTTTTTTAACATTAAATTGCCTTTATCAATCTTTTTATCTTTAAGGCCACACCAATTTAATTTCTTATTCGTCGGACATTTGATTTTAAAAAGTACAAGCGGACAGGCGGTTAAATGATAATATTATTACTTTTTTCTGAGCAATTTTTTAGGCGGAGCATGAAAAAATGTGAGCAGGCAATTATATTTTTTTCTGATATACAGAGTAAGCAGGTTAAAAATACGATAAATAGAGCGGAAATAAAACAGAAAAGAGCACAGAATTCCTGTGGTGCTAGAAATTTAAATTAACATTATTTGTATAGTTTTTTTTAAATACAAGCGCGGGTCCGACGAACACATTTTTTTTATTATTGTGGCCTAATATTTATTATGTTTGCTCCACGTACTTCGTGTGATTTTGAGTTTATAAAGTACGTATAAACAATGATTTTCTGCTATGTTTACAATTAACAGATAAAATAGAAAACAAGAGGATTGAGAAATTTGGTAAGTTTAGCTTTGATAATACTGCTTTTATCATTTTTGTGAAAATAATAATCAATTAATTAATAATTAATTGTTATCTTTGATAAATTACCCGTTATTGTATGCAAAAAGAGGTATATATATAAGTACATGTAACATAAATAAATATTGCATAAGAATAATGTAGGAAAATTTAAGAACTATATAATTTATTCAGAATTCTTACATTTCTTTTTGTTTTAAAAAGACGAACACTTTCTATAATGTAGTCAAATAATAGGATTGTCCTAAAAAGTTGTAGACAGGTAAAAGAGTTTGTTTCTCTTTGATTTATTAAATTTCTTTCCTTGTCATAGCAAAGAGTAGCATTTTATGATCAAGCACTTCAAGTTTCATGATGTCGATATCAAATCATATAAGAAAAATATGAAAAAATAAAAAAAGAATATAAGTGTACACCGGCACACGAAAGCAATCGTAAATTCGTTTTTTTTATTTAAAAAAAAAAGCCCCGTCTTCCCCGAACTCCTTCTACATTTTACAAAGTAGCCTAATCATCTTTTGGGAGATGGTTGGTGATGTCATGTAGATGTGCAGTAACGTTACAGAATTTTGATTTTGCCCAAAGGGGCAAATTGGGGTTGAAAAATGACGTTTTTTTATGAATAAAGCCCCGTCTTCTATGAACTTATTCATCTTTAGTGAGATGATTGGTGGTGTCATGTAGATGTGCAGTAAGGTTTTGGAATTTTGATCTTGCCCCGGGGAGTCAAAAAATGATGTTTTTTATGCAAAAAAGACCCGTTTTCCCTGAAATCCTTCTATATTTTACACAGTAGTCATCATCTTTTGGGTGGTGTCATGTTGATGTTCAGTAAGGTTTCGGAATTTTGAATTGCCCTTGGGGGGTAAATTGGGGTCGAAACATTATGTTTTTTTATGCAAAAAGCCCTGTCTTCCCTGAACTCCTCCTTAGAAGAGTTAAATATTTTGAAAATTAGGTAAAACATCAACGTCAAGGGGTAAAAAAAGCATTGCATGCTGGGAAACATCTTGAATTCGTATGAGTAATTAATGTACACGTACATGTCAAATGAGAGAGTCAGTCATATCTCTTCTCAATCAAAAGTTATAAGCAAATTATGCATCATTTTTTAAAAGTAGGTAAGGCTTCAAAGTCAAGGTCACAGAGTCAAAATGATTGATTTGGAAAGGTCTAATCACAGGTAATAATATACATGCATGTATAATATGAATGCCCTAACTTTTCTCTTTCAAATTGATGAATTTAAAACATTTTTTTTTTCAAGTAGGTCAAACTTCTAGGTCACATGTAAAACAAATCATGCCATTCTCACAGGTAAATACTAATACATAAGTTTAATATGAATGCCTTGTCTCTTCTCATTCAATAAATATGACTGTGATGACCAAGGTTAAATTTATTGAGACAGATGGACAGACGCACATACAAATGTACATATTTCTATGTGAATTGGGAGAATTGGGCCAGTGGTTCTAGAGATATTAAAAATGTAAAAAGTTTTCAGACAAACAGATGGACGACAGACGTTATATGATAAAGAAACCAGAAAAGCTCAAATGAGTGTTTTGAAAGGGTAATTACAATGGTTACAGTATTTAAAAAGCTGTGTGGTTTTTTCTCATGCAGAGATATGACCAAAATATTAATGTTTTATATTTTTTTCAATAGTAATTTTGTTTGTTTGTTGTGAAAACATCTCTCTCAGGAATTTTTACTTATATGGAGACACCATCAAGTAATAATGAAGACAAGATGTGTTTGTGAAACACTGATGCTGGTGCCCCCGTATGGAAGCCTATGGCGAAGGTTGAAATTTCTTAAATATATGTCAAACTTAAAGGTCAAGGTCAAAGGGTTCAAATTGTTGGTATCAGAAGAAAGTCTTGTCACAAGGAATACACAATCATGTAAAATAAGTAATCGCTCGTCCTTCCTGTTCAAAAGTTAATTGCCAAGGTAAAGTTTCAAACTCTAGGGTCAAGGTCAAACATATCTATAGCTGTTGACAGTTCACAATGAACACACATGTTAAGCATGAAGGCCCTAGCACCTACTGATCAAAATTTAGGTCAAGTTTAATGTTTGGTATTTTTCTTGTACAAATGTGTAAAAATCCAAAGTCAAGCGATCAAGAGGTCAAAATTCATGGTACCCAAATAAAAGGTCTTGTCACAAGGAATTAACCTATGAAATGTGGAAGCTATGTGTATAGCCCATCCCACTTAAAACTTATAGGTAAGGTTAAAGTTTCTGCAGACAAATAGACATGCAGGCATAATATAAACACAAGAAACAAAATATGTTTAATTAGTCAAATGGGAAAAAATCTACTATTTTGGAATCACAAATTTGATTGGTTTTTCAAGGACAGGGAGTGGCTAAGGAGATTGGATCCCCCCTTGGAATTTGCTTTGTTATTTAAATTTGACTATATATATATATATATATATATATATATATATATATATATATATATATATATATATATATATATATATATACTGAAGCAAATAAAAACTGACTTTGGACAACCTCCCCCTAACTTAGTGTAGGAAACATTGACCCCACGACCCCATTGTCATCTTTTTATTTGTTTATTTGTTTTCAGCTTTTTTTTCTCCTGCTTGTCAGGAAATTCTTGGCTGGAATTTTTAGACTAATATGTGAACCCCCTTCACCACTCCCCAAAAAAAATCTGGATATGCAACACAGGAGTCAGCAGTTTTATCAATAAACCAATGTAAACTAAATCTATGAGCTTCGCTGCCGAAAACTGCCGACTCCTGTGATCTGCAGTAACTAATTGTCACATCGACAACGGGAGATAACTTAACAATATGAAATTCGTCTAGTGGGGCATGCGATGATCTTTGACCCTTTTTGAACTTTAATCTAATCATTTGCAATTGGGTTTATTTTACACCCACTTAATTTAAACTTGTACTTACCGACTGTAATAGGTCCTGTCAACTTCATGAAATATAATCCAATTATAACACAAAATGAATTAATCCATTTGGCAAACATTGGTCGATTCCGTCACCCTATCAGATGAAGTGGGAATCGGCCGATGTGTGCCGAATGGTGCTTAATAAAATATATATTATTATTTTTATATATAAAAAAAGTTGTTAAAGGGAGACGCAACCCAATGCGATGTAGAAATTTTCCAAACGATGTTTTAACGAAACTTTTCCATCTAGCCTATTCCAAAAAAGTAAGTGCGGGGAGGGACATTACTAGATTTAAAAAGGTCATAGTATGAGCAAAACATTTATCAAAAGCTAATTTACATTAATTGAATTCAAACTGGTAATGAATTAAGCATGTAAAATACATGTAAGAGGTCACACATTGGCGTTGGAAACAAATTGAAGGGGGGGGGGCTTAGTGTAAAAAAAATTCAAGCAAAACCTGACAAGCAAATAAACAAAAAGGGAAATGTTCTTTTCCAAAACACGAAAATACTATTTCGTGGAGGTTGGAGGGGAGAGAGAAGGTTCGAACTCCAGTAACAATTTTTTTTTAATGCCACCACTTTCTATACTGCGACTAGCTTGTCTGTGGAAAGTAGGGTGGCTAAACCTACGCAGCAATCTTCATTATCCTGCCTCTGATAAAAATCGTGAAATTTCATTGGCTGAGGGCAATACTGCATGAAACGATGTTATGCTGTCTACATCTCACATTGCTAATATGCCCCCTCCACAACAATGTCTACATAACTAATAATGCCCCCCTTTCTAAGCCCCCCCCCCCCCCGGTTCCGACGCTTATCTGACATGGTCACAAGGTCTGAAAATTTCATACTCAATCTGATGAATACTGTATAAATTATAGAATTAATTTGACTTTTTCGTTGGAAAGCCGCCCAATATGTAAGAGTGTGTAGGATTTTCGTGATCGGGACATTATGGGTGTATCTCAATCCTTTTTTTTTTTGGCTTGTCAGGTAATTTTTAAGGTATATATTTTTTTTTATCACTTAGCCCCTCCCCCCTCCCTCACTTTCAATTTGCTTCCGACGCCAATGATTATTCCGAAATTTGTCCGTGCTCCGACAGGTCTTATCGGCCTTCATATAAATCGCCATAATATTATCAATATGAAAACTAGATGCTGTCATGAGACAGTAATACCCGCACTAAGGTGTTTGCCTCTAAATACACGCTCCTACATATTGGGCGGCTTTCCAAGGAAAAAGTCAAATTAATTCTATAATTTACATGTATTCATCAAATTGAAATTCTCAGACCCTGTGATCTATAACTCAGAACCTCTTATATTTATTTTACATGCTTAATTTATTATATACCAGTTTGAATTCTATAAATGATGTAAATTAGATTTTCATAAATGTTTTGCTCATAATAGGACCTTTTTAAATTTACTTATCCCCCCCCCCCTCGACACCACAATCACACAGCACATACTTTTTGGAATAAGCTAGATGGAAAAGTTTTTTTAAAACATCGTTTGTTATGAAATAATTTAAATTTTGTTCTTGTACTATACATGTTAACATGTAAATTTCTACATCACATCACGTTGCGTCACCCATTATCATATTTTTAGATTAAACACCATTTGGCACACCTCGGCCGATTCCCACTTCATCTGATAAGGTGACGGAATCGACGAAGGTTTGCCGAATGGAATTAGCACATGGTTGCAGTCTGGTGTGCATTGGATTAATTCATTTTGTGTTATAATTGGATTTATATTTCATGAAGTTGACGAGACCTATGGCAGTCGGTAAGTACAAGTTTAAGTATAGTGGGGGGGGGGGTAAAATAAACCCAAACGATTAGGTTAAAGTTCAAAAAGGGTCAAAGATCATCGCATGCCACACTAGACAAATTTCATATTGTGAAGTTATCTCCCGTTGTCGATGTGACATTCAGTTACTGCCAATACTGGTGCGGATCCAGAATTTTTTTTCGGGAGTAGGGAGGGGGGTTCACATATCAGTCAA